GATGTCATTAGTGTGCACCATCTTGAAAAGCTCTGAGTAATGAACTTTTTTAAGATACAGTTGATGGAAAAGCCTCGGTGCTTCGCAAAGCTTAATTTTTCCATCATTAAAAAACAGGCAGGAAGGCTAGGAACAATACGGGTAGACAATACACACCACGAGCACAACTGGCGAAAAATGAATGAGAATGAATGAGAATCAGAATGAATGAATGAGTCAGAATGAGTTTTTTTTATTGCCAGGAATGTTTACACATACGAGGAATTTGTTTTCATGACAGAAGCTCCACAGTGTAACAGAATGACAGTGACAGAACAAAAACACAGATAATAAAAAATAGAAATATAGAACAAGTAACTAAGGAATAAAAATATACAAATCGACAATTGTATGTACAAGTATATAACAATAGACAGTTGTATGTACAGGTATATTATGTGCAAATTGAAATGTAGAGTGTGTGTGTTAGATAAATAAGTGTATGAGTGAATAAATAGTGTGTGTTCCACAGTTATTGTCAAGTGTTCATGAGATGGATGGCCTGAGGGAAGAAACTGTTCCTGTGTCTGGTCGTTCTGGTGCTCAGAGCTCTGTAGCGTCGACCAGATGGCAACAGTTCAAAGAGGGAGTGTGCTGGATGTGAGGGGTCCAGAGTGATTCTGCCAGCCCTTTTGCTCACTCTGGACGAGTACAGTTCTTGGAGAGAAGGGAGGGTTGTACCAATGATTCGCTCAGCAGTCCGGACTACCCTCTGAAGTCTTCTGAGGTCAGACTTGGTAGCTGAGCTGAACCAGACAGTTATTGAAGTGCAGAGGACAGATTCAATAATGGCGGAGTAGAACGGTTTCAGCAGCTCCTGTGGCAGGTTGAACTTCCTCAGCTGGCGAAGGAAGTACAACCTCTGCTGGGCCTTTTTCACAATGGAGTCAATGTGAGTGTCCCACTTCAGGTCCTGAGAGATTGTGGTGCCCAGGAACCTGAATGACTCCACTGCAGTCACAGTGCTGTCCATGATGGTGAGTGGGGGGAGTGCAGAGGGGTTTCTCCTGAAGTCCACGGTCATCTCCACAGTTTTGAGCGTGTTGAGCGCCAGGTTGTTGAGACTGCACCAGACAGCCAGCTGCTCGACCTCCTGTCTGTAAGCAGACTCGTCACCGTCCTGAATGAGGCCGATGAGTGTGGTGTTGTCTGCAAACTTCAGGAGTTGACAGAGGGGTCTTTAGATGTGCAGTCGTTGGTGTACAAAAACAGATCAGTCCAGGACTGCAGACACCAGGAGAATAAATAGGGAAACAAACGAGGAGGGTAACGAGGGAGACACAGGTGGAGCAACTTAAACAATGAGGTAACAAGGTGGGCGGGGTCAGACAATAGACAGGAGAGAGAGCACATGGCACCAAACGAACACAAGCCATGTGCTCACAGAAAAATGGTGTCATCTGGTGGCCATCCTAGGCACACCAGCTGAAGACTGTGACATAAGCCCTCCATTAAGGAGCGGATTCCAGACGCTCCAACAAAAGTCAAAGAAATCCCAGAGGGAGGCAGAACGGAGGTGGATAAGGGGGAGGGATGGTGGGCCAGGCCCGCAGAGTGGAAGAGGTCCTGGGCACCGAGGAGGCCAGGGCGAGGCCAGCAGGGCAGGAGGCCAGGGCGGAGTGCAAGCCCACCAAGGTGGAGCCGGAGGGACAGACCAGCAAGGCTCAGGCCAAACAGGAACCCCGCCAGACCACCAGGGTGGGACCGGCGGGACCGACCAATGAGGCTCCGGCCGAACAGCAACCCCGGCGGGTGACCAGGGCGGAGCCGGGAGCTTGGCAGGCAGCAAAGGCAGATCGATGACCGCCTCAGCGGAGTTAACAAGGTAGATGAACCCCCTAGTGGCTCAGGCAGGACTGCAATGAAGAGCACAGAAGTTATTAACAGTCTTGATGGCCGTAATAGGACCTGCAGACAGTTCAGCAACAGTCTCCTTGGCTGGGACAAGACAGACTGAGAGTTCAGGAGTGGGCGCCACCACCCAGAGAGGAGCTGAAGTGGATGCTGCCACCTCAGGAGGTTCTGTAGCAAAAGTCGCCACCTCGGGGGGCTCAAGAGTGGACTCTGAGGGCTCCCGGACTGGAGCTGGTTCTAGAGTGGACTCTGAGGCAGCCAATTCCCGCAGAACAGCCATGAGGTGAAAGGCAAAGACGGCCTTTTTGATTTTGGCAGCAGCAGTGAAATTGGGCAGCTCTGTGGTGACCTCTGAGACCACCGGAGTCAAGTCCCCCAGGACCACCAGACTTGGGACCACCAGAGTCAGGTCCCCCAGGACAACCAGACTTGGGACCACTGGAGAGATGCCAGCTGCTCGCACGGACATCAGTTGTGGGTCCGTCAAACTGAACATCAGCTTCAAACGCCCTGGGCCCACCTTTCTGACTTCATGCGGCACGTTCATAATACCCAAGAACACTGAAGTGGTATCCATGACTGCTGAAGACTCTGGTGTGGAGGCCATGATGGCTGGAGACTCTGGACTGGCGGCCATCCTGTGAAGAGACTCTGGACTTGCGGTAATTTTGTAGTGGGGCTCTGGGCTGGTAGCCATCTTATGAAGAGCCTCTGGTGTGGCGGCCATGTTGTGAAAACGCACCCCATGAGAAGGCACCTCTCTTTGCACTTCTGACTGCCTTCCACTGCGGATGAGGTACTCCACAAACCCCTCAAAAGATAAATGTTTGCAACCCAACATCCTCCAGTGACTAATGGGCTCATCAAGGGCATAGTTAAATAAGTATTTTAGAGCGGAGTCATTGTAGCCCAGCCCCTCTGCAGCATTCTTAAACTCCAGGGCAAACTCCCTCAGATCAGTATCTCATTGACGGAGTGAGCTCAAGGCATTGAGCTGGAGCATGCGCTGGTAGAGGGGGCTAGAGAAAGTGGAGACAGGTGGATGGCGCAAGCCCTTCTTCCGCTGAGTCCTCATTATGGCTGATCCGTTCTGTCACGGTGCGTGTGGCGAGATGAGGCAAGGACTCAAGTTGCAGGAAGAATGGTCTTTCTTTAATAAAACGAAACAAAAACAAACAAAAATAACCCAGAGGGGGAAAACCAGGCAGGCAGGCTAGGAAAAACAATACAGGTAGACATAATACACACCACAAGCACAACTGACGAAAAACAACAGATCAGCCCAGTACTGTAGACACCAGGAGAATAAATATGGAAACAGACGAGGAGAGTAATGAGGGAGACACAGGTGGAGCAACTTAAACAATAATGAGGTAACAAGATGGGCGGGGTCAGACTATAGACAGGAGAGAGCACATGACACCAAACAAACACAGCACAAGCCATGTGCTCACAGAAAAACAGTGTCATCTGGTGGCCATCCTGGGCACACCAGCTGAAGACAGTGACAATATTAAAATAATATGAATTAACAGCAGTACCATTAAATTATTCATTTACGCCAGATCAGATCATTCGGTTGAGATGACAGTATTTATTCATTACTTTGTTCAAAAGCTTGTGAACTCAAACCGAATGCCTTAAAAAGTTTAAAAACAACAATGATACTCACCCTCTATTGATTTAATTTATTTTTTATTCATTTGTTTGATATTTTCCAGCTCGTCTGCCCATTCCTGTCATCACCAGAGACTCTTCAAACTGTTCATCCTCATCATCAGGATCATCACAGCAGAACTGTTCACTGCTGTGTTTAGTGTTGAATGTGAGTCATGTGACTCTCTCCTAGTACAAAGGAAACAGTTTATTGTCCAGCATCAGTGTGTCTGATCTCAGCATCAGTCTCTCTCTACCTCTGGAGGTGGAATATCAGGATAACAACACCTACAACTGTGTGCTCAACAATCCCATCAGCAACCAGACCACACATCTGGACATCCTATCACATCTATGCAGATGATACCCAGCTCTATTTACCATTAGACTATGGTAGTGATTCTGTTTCTCCCCTGCTAGCATGTTTAAAGGATATTAAAGATTGGATGGATGAAAACTTTCTTCAGTTGAATGAAAACAAGACAGAGGTTATCCTGTTTGGCTCCAAACCGCAGATTATAATGCTTTCTTGGGGCATCTTCAGTTAAATAATCACTCCTATGTTAAAAATCTGGGGGTCATCTTTGATTGAGATCTGAAGTTTGACAAACAAATAAATTCAATGGTCAGGGCCAGCGAATACATTTTTCATATAAAGAATATTGCGTTGCATATATCTTGCTTCTCTAAAGACACTTGAAAACTAAAGCATGACTTTAATGATTCTTCTTTGTGTAACTTGCTTGTCATTCAGTAGGACTGAATGGAGTCCGTTTGAACTGAGCATCGAAAACTGAAGGTTGTTTGTTTGAATCCCAGTAGATTGTTGAAGGGTTTCCTGGAAATCATTTTACGTGAATCTGCATCCCTGTGATCATGAAAATAAAAGAAAATGATTCTGGAGCCAGGGGCGTAAATTTCGTCTAGCAGTAAGGGGGGACAATAAACATAAAATTTCTCAAGAGCAATTTTTGAAGGGGACACAAATAATACAACTACAATTATACTGGTAAGGATATGTATACACAAAGGAATGGCTTACTTCTATTAGTGCAGCAGGGAGGCCGTGCCAAAATAGACAACTTAAAGCTGTTGTGGTCGCGCCGTGACAGCGCTCGTGTTCGTTGTAGACATTACTATCCGTCACAGTGTTGCCAAGTCCATGGTTTTCCTGTGGAATTGGGCTACTTTTTATCTGTTGCCGTGGGTTGAAGCAACCCCAATAATGTGTATTTTAGCCCCCGGAATGCAATTTTTACCAGGGGACCCCTTGAAAAGTGGATAGTTTGGGCTAGTTTTGAGTAGCAATTGGGTGGGTTTTGTTATGAAAACCTGGCAACACTTTCCTTCAAGCAGGTAACGTTATTATTGCTAACATAGCGGACTCATCGAAAAATACATTGGCATCATCTGTATTAAAGAGAAAATAATCACTTGATCCGTTGTTTAAGTGAATAAAATAGCCTTGACAGCCTTACTTACTGGAGTTCCACAACTATTGTTCTTTCTCACCAGACTTGTGTGTGTATGTGTGTGGGTGATGTAAAAGAGGAAAGCAGGCATTTGGACCAAAGCACTGTGAGGCAAGGGAGGGGGAGACTCAGAATATTTCTAAACTTAAAACACATTTTTACCCCGTTTGTGTTGTTTTGTACATTTGACTTAACACAGTGCCATCTACTGGTTTCTTCTTAAAGGGGTCATATGATGCGTTTTCAATTTTTCCTTTTTGGAGTGTTACAAGTTCTTGGTGCATAAAGAAGATCTGTAAAGTTGCAAAGATTAAAGTCTCAAATTCAAAGAGATATTCTTTATAAAAATTAAGAGTCAGCCACACCTATCTAAAACGGCTCGTTCTAACACACCCCAACATACCTACGTCACTCTGTGGGAAGATTTGCATAACGCCACCCAAATGTTCACGCAAAGAAAGAAGGCGTAACTTTTATTCTTGCTGTAGTTTTCTTGTTTCTGCTGCCATGTCGTAAAGACGCTGTGTGCTTCATTGTGAAAGCGAAACTACTTTGTTTGGTCTTCCAAAAGAGGACGATATCTGCTTCGTCATGCCTGGAGCTGATCCGTGCTGGTCGATGAGGAAATACTACAACTTTGCTCTGTCGATCGCCGGATTGGCTTTTAACAGTGGACGAAGCGGAGTCCAGCCCGGAGTCGTTACATGTCCTTCCGGACACTCCTTCGTCGTAATCGCTGGCCGCCCCGTTCTCAAGCCCGTGCCTCTGCTCACTCTAACCCTCCCGCCGTTCCTCACGCTAGCCTCCGGCCTCTGCTCACTGTAGGCCGCCGCCGCCGCTCACTTTAACCCTCCGGCCGTTCCTCACTCTAGCCGCCGACCTCTGCTCACTGTAGGCAGCCGTGTGTGACGCTGTTTCGTTGTGAAAAAGCGAAACTACTTTGTTTGGCCTTCCAAAAATGGACACGACTAGAAATCAGTGGTTAAGTTGTATTTACAACACTGTTCCAGAACACTTCAACCCAAATATTGGGATGTGTGCAGCACATTTTATGGAGGACTGTTTCCTGATCCTGGGAGAGTAGACTACAATGCCGGCTGTTCTGACTCAAAGACTGTAAGTACACCTTTTATATTTAAAGAGTTTTTATATTTTATATATTTAAAGCCAGTTTTTTGGGGCAGTGTAGAGTAGGGCTTGTTGTTTGTCATTTATCTGATCACAAATGCAGACATGGTTTTATGTTTACGCGGCGCGATGCAATGCAACACGTAAAAAGACAGTATAAGTCATTATAATCCTTAATTATGTCCCCACTGGATGCAACGAATGCCTCGTTTATAATGGGTTTTCATGTTTTTGTCTCATCGCTTCGGACTGAGAGGGCATCATCACAATATGGCAAGGGGCGTAACATTTCCATCACATGCTTGAGGTATTCGGCCAATCACAACGCACTGGATAGCTGGCCAATCACAGCACACCTCGCTTTTTCAGACGATGAGCTTTGTAAAAATCTACGCGTTTCAGAAGGCGGGGCATAGAGGAGAAACAATAATGTACAGTATGTGGAATATAATGTGTTTTTTTAACCTTAAACCGCATAAACACATTTCATTACACCAAATACTGTTCTTTTTAGCAGCATCATATGACCCCTTTAAATAACAGGTACAAATAATTATTGACGAGATTTCTTCAACATTGAAGGTTGTCATTTGTCATTCAGTCAGGGATGTATGAAGCCAGTTGAGACAGTTTAGACTAACTGGACCACGCTAACTAGCCAAAACTAAAAAAAGGAAAACGTTTTTTGTTTGTTTGTTTACTCACCCTCTGGTTAATTGTGTCCACATATTCACACATAGCTAATAACTAACCAAAACATTTTTGTTTTGCTGGTATGGAATGTAACCTGTACCTAGAAATATGTAACAGATATTTAGCCACAATAACATGATGCGGGCAAGTAGTTCTTCTTACTGAAGAGCGTTTCTTCATTAGACTTCCTCTATTATCTCATGCAGTAGAAAAATGTTTTGCGCAATTATTTTCTTCTATTTCTGCCACCTGGTTGGTAAGTTCAAATATTGTTTTATGGCTTCAGGTTCATTATGGTCAGTTGATTAGATTTATAGGCTATTAACAGTTATTTCAAGAGATTCTGTCATCATTTACTCACCCTTTTGTCGTTCCCAACCTGTATGACTTTTTTTCTTCTGTGGAACTCAGATGATGTTTGGCTTGTTTTAGACCTAACTGGCTTTTAATGTATAGACAAAAGCAGCCCGATTAGGGTTAGTAAATGATGACAGGATTGTCATTTCTGGATGAACCCTTAAATCTAGCTATTTTGGTGTGTTTTGTTCTGATACAGATGCAGGGAAGACAGTGTCAGTGATGGAGGGAGAGTCTGTCACTCTACACACTGATATACACAGATATGATGCTAAATTTGACAGATATTATATGGATTATATGGAGTGGAGTAGGTTTAGACCTGAAGAATCTCGTAATGTTAGAATCATTCAGCTTGATGTGAAGACAGGTGATATTAGATATTATTATGATGAGAGATTCAGAGACAGACTACAGATGAACAATCAAACTGGATCTCTGACCATCAGGAACATCAGAACCACAGACTCTGGACTTTATCAAATGTACAATACATTCTCAGTAGAGTCATTCAATGTTACAGTCTATGGTGAGTAGGTGAATTTAATGTGCTCTTACCTCATAAATCATTTAAAATCTCTTATATATCCCAATAAGTTGTAAGAATATTAACTGACAGTATGCCACTGATACTTTTGATAGAGCTTAAATGAATTTATCCTAGAATATTTAGTAAAATTAATCAAGTAGACATTTATTTCACATGATTCTCTCATGTTTTCCAGCTCGTCTTCCCATTCCTGTCATCACCAGAGACTCTTCAAACTGTTCATCCTCATCATCAGGATCATCACAGCAGAACTGTTCACTGCTGTGTTCAGTGGTGAATGTGGGTCATGTGACTCTCTCCTGGTACAAAGGAAACAGTTTATTGTCCAGCATCAGTGTGTCTGATCTCAGCATCAGTCTCTCTCTACCTCTGGAGGTGGATTATCAGGATAACAACACCTACAGCTGTGTGCTCAACAATTCCATCAGCAACCAGACCACACATCTGGACATCAGTGGACTCTGTCAGACATGTGCAGGTACATCGATGTGGATATTAATATTATTTTAAAAATAATAAATGTTTGTCAAATGCAGGTTCTCAATAAAACGTATTTTTCTACCTTCAGATCGAGTCCACTGTTGCGGTTTCACTGAAGCTGTGATTCGATTGGTCATCTCTGCTGTGGTGGGCGTGGCTACTGTTGCCATAGTATTTTATGACATCAGATCCAGAAGAGCTGAAGCAAAAAGCAAACATGAGGACATAGACTCCATTTAATTTTCCATTAATTTAATTTATTCTTCTGAAAATCTAAAAAAAAAAAAAACATGCAGAAAAATTTCAGTGTGATAATGTTAAAAAGGCTTTGCTAAACTATAATTTCTTCCTCCAAACTAATGTGCTAAAGTTCTGTTTTCTTGGTCTTTTTTTCCAATAATATTGTGCAATATTAAAAGTGCATAAAAATTAAATTTAAATGTACTTTATTAAAATGTATATTACATTATTATAACTTTTAAATGAGTGTTATTAACCTGGAATTCAATTAATCAATCCTGTTGAATAAATGGACAGAAGTTTCAATTTTGGGTGAAAAATGTTACTTTAAGAAAGGTATAGTTGAAAGTTTATTACTCTTTAATCCTTGCTGCACAAAATGTTTAATTAAAATTCAATCAATGTTCAGTCTAAACTTAAAGATCATGACTGCAAAAACACTGTTTCTGCTGGGAATGATGAAAGAGGAAATTATGGTGAAAGAGCAACATTAATAGTTCAGTTAGAGTGAAAGGAGAAGAAGTCTTGAAAGTAGCGTTATAATAACCCACACTCGGTTAACATCTATATGACCCCATATGGAATAAATTAAATCAGGGGTCCAGAAACCTCAGCAATGCCCGTGTATTCAGAATTAAATGCAGTGGTGCTCAGTTCTGCATTTGCACGACTACATCCCTCACCTGCATTATTACGTTCACAGAAAACTGTCAAAACATTGGTCATCCAAATGCTGAAGAACATGCCTCAAACATGTGCTGTTGTCTTAAACATTTGGCTGTTAGTGGGTACGTTTTTATGCCTTTTTAAGTCTTGCTGTTTTTCTTTTAAGTACCGTACTTATATTTTTATAGTAATTTTATGATTTTGTAACTATCTGAACTTTTCAAAGTGTCAAAATATAGACTCATAATATTAATAATAAAAAATACTGCATATTTACAATGTATATTTTATATTTATAATGTATATTATTTTAATGTTGTAGTCTAATGATCATTGAGTTATTATTGAATGAGAAAACAAAAATTAGGAATCAGTTCTGCATATTGGTATCAAGAAGTAATAAAGAGCAGCGTTTGTTGAGCACAGCATTGACTAACCTGGGAATGGCTTCTTGAATGTTCTCCAGGTGTGTTTGGTCCTCAGACAGGTGGAACGGAGACGGTATCAGTGATGGAGGGAGACTCAGTCACTCTACACTCTGAACATACTGAAATGCTGACAGATGATCACATATGGTGGACTTTTAGGCCTGACAGTTTGAACATTTGTGTAGGTCAAATGATTAATCGAGTTGTCTCTTTTCCTGATGGTAATGAGATATTCAGAGACAGACTCCATTTGGACAATAAAACCGCATCTCTGACCATCAAAAACATCACAACTGCACATGATGGATTTTATGAAGTAAACATCAGCCGTGCCAACAAAGTGTTTAACAAGATTTTTATTGTTAAAGTTTACGGTGAGCACTTCAGTTTTATTTGCGCTCCTCTCCAGATGAACACAGTCAGTCTTGAAATTTTTCATATGTCAAAATTAAAATTTAAAGACTAACATTTGAGTGATGACATGTGATAACAAAACTTGTCATTGGTTCTCAAACTTATTTAGGTCTACAGAGAGAGAAAAAGTAACATATATTGAATATGCAAATTTCTTTTGGTTTTGGTTTAAAACAATCTGTTTTACTACTGACAACTAAATGTGAATCTGTCTATCATTTTGCCTACAAAAAAATGTATTTATTGCGTATACAGGCCTACATCATACATCAAAGAGATGTCTATTTGACGCCTCCATTTACATCTGCAAGACATCTTTTTTAGAGTGTTTGCTCATCTGTAATACGTCTATAGGACGTTTCCAATCAGATGTCGAATAGACGTTTAGAAGATGTCTTGAAGATGTTTATGTTTATTAGAATGTATGTAAAACTGACATCTTAAAGACATCTATCAGATGTTTGTACACAGCAGATGCTTTCCAGATGAATCTTTAACAGACATCTTGACTGTACAGTCAATGTACTTCAGTTTTTTATATAAAAAAAACAACAACACTTAAATTAGCCTAGGATGTTAATTATGTTGAAAGTGCAATTTTACAGTATACCAAGTTTTTATGAAATAATTCCGCTAATTGCGTCATGCAAGATGGTGCCATCACGTTGTATGAAATGACTGTCAGTTGTTTGAACTGATATACAAAAATAAAAGAAAAATTTTAATTTTTGTATTACTATTTTTTGTATAAATTTTTATTACTTTATTACTAAATTGTATTAATTTATTACTATCGTGTTTTTTATAATATCATGCTGCATATTATTCTAACACCTAGGCTTTAATGCATGAACATGTCTTTATACTATAGAAAGGGAATTGTCATATTTGGCGGTCCCAGTCATTACATTACGTTTTTCTTTGTCATCAAGCTCAAAATGTGTGCTGCTGTGTTCAGTGATAAATGTGAATGATGTGACTCTCTCCTGGTACAAAGGAAACAGTTTATTGTCCAGCATCAGTGTGTCTGGACCCATCAGCCGAGTTTCTCTGCCTCTGGAGATCAAGTGTCTGGATGAATCCTACAGCTGTGTGTTGAACAATCCCATCAGCAATCAAACTAAACCTCTCAACAGCACTGAACTCTGTCAACCATGTCCAGGTACATCATTAGCAGTACGCTTCTAACACTAGTATTTTATCCGTACATTGGATCAGTTTTCTTCTGTTTCTGTCCTCAGAACGCGTCCACTGTTGCGGTTTCACTGAAGCTGTGATTCGATTGGTCATCTCTGCTGTGGTAGCCGTGGCTACGGTTATCATAGTGGTTTATGATATTAGATCAAGAAGAACTGAACAAAAGCTCAAAGGAAACATACGAATATAGACTCACATTCTTTTCTTTAAGTTCTGAAAGTTAAAAAAAAAATGTGCCGAAAACATTTCTGTGTGATAATGCTTACATACTTTGCTAAACTATTATTTCTTCCTCTAAACTAATGTGCTTAAGTTCTACTTTCTTGGTCTTTTTCCTAATAAAGTTGCGCTATATAAAGTCTGCTATTGTTTAAGATTCTGCCCTGTTTTAGCTAGAGACTGAGCAACTTTAAATGTATAAATCATTTACGATATTTAATAATAATAATAATAATAATAATAATAAATGTTTAAAAAAATCATAGTTAGAGCCAATATTAACAAACCAACAATCGATTAAGTTGAAAAAGGTTGGATATCGGTTAAAAAAAAACTTTGATTATCGGTTATATCGACAAGATTATTTGTCTATACTGTATCTAGCTTTGCCCATAATGATGCTTGGAAATGCGATGTTCATGTAATTTTACATTTCACAGAAATGTGAATACTGTAAAATGGAAACTGTGGCTAACACACACACACACACACACACACACACACACACACACACAAAGAAACAAGAAGTGAAGATATGTGAGAAAAAGTGTCAAACCTTTTGAACTTATCGACATGAGAATCTTCATCAGAGATGTTCATTTCTGCTGCTGCCTTTCTATGGAGTTTAGTCACAACAAAAAGATCATTTAAAAAATAAATAATACATTTTTGCAGAAAAATGGCCAAAACAATTATGACTCAACCGTTGATGAATATGGTTGACATGGTTGTTTTGTTCTAACAGATGTTGGTTGGTAAGACGCTTAAGCAAGCATCTTTCAAGGCTATTATTTCTTGCATTTTTATAGAATAAAATGTACCAAAAATAAAAATGGTAAGCTAGCCCATACATAATATACATAACTTCAGATGTTTCATTTAGCTGTCACATTACCCTTGGCATATGCCATGTTGACTATTACTTTGAAACCCATTTTTAGGATACAAATGTCTAATAGTGTCAAATTTTAAATTAGTGAAATAAATTTTTTTTGACTTCATAGGACTGATTAATATAGGCCTATATATTGTTCTAAAGTAACTGCAAGTTGATTTTGGAATACAAAATTGCATCAGTATCTTTCACATTTATTACTTTATAACTATGGAAAGACCTCATAAACTCCACCTGCCCACTAGAGGGCAGAAAATACTTAAAAGCTTCTGACGCCGAGAGGTGATGAATTTTGGACAGGGTTCGGCAACCTGCATACCAAAAGGTATCCATTGAGGGAGTAAGATTAATACAATTATAGTTGTTTATTTTAAAAGTATTACAATTTTTAACACCTGATATTGCAGATGCCTTTAGCGGTATAATCATATTTTTTATTCAGTTATGAGATATACTGTATAGGAAGTATGTGGTTTCCAAAGTCAAAAGGCCTAGTGATCACACGTTTGAAAAAAGAGACAACGGTTTCATTTGCAACCACACGTTTATTGATTCGGTAAAGGTGTTTCGGTGCTGTTGTGGTTGGGGCGGTTTGGAGGTAAAGGAGGACTGCAGATGGATGGATTTACAGGCCAAACGTCACTCCATCAGTTGTTTGACGGACTGAACCGTGGGGCAGACGGTGCCCCAGTCCACAGGCTTATGGTACTCCCCCTTCTCCAGTAGGTACTGGCGCCCCCTGTAGTTTGGGTGTTCGTAGACGATCCAGATCCCATCAAGCACCTTACAGGAGAGGACCTCGCATGTCCGAAAGCGCTCCACCACGGATGGACAATCCTCAGTGGTCTCGTACACCTGGCCCGTGAAATCTCCCTTGTCATAGAGTTGGATCTTGTACTCAGAACCACTTACCTGGAGAGGAATGAACACCTTTTGCGCACTACATAATATTTTGCATCCATGTGGGTGACTTACAAAGTGGATCATCTTGCAGGAGCAGAGGCGGTCGTTCAGACCCATCCAGCATTGGTAATCCGGATACTTGCCCCGTGTCAGAACATACTGGTAGCCCATGAAGTTGGGCCTTTCGTAGATCACCCAGGTCCCGCTGTCCACACGGATGGAGGTACACCGGTTCAGGTAGGCATGGAAGTCCGAACAGTCGCTGTCGCACTCATACGAGGAAGTTCTTGTCCTCGTAGAAAATGATCTGCACAAATGTGACGGTGGAATTTTATTTCACCCTATATTATTTTAATAAACTACCTCTGGTTACATTACAGGTCTATTAAATATATTATATTATATTATATCTAACAATAATATAACATATTTATAATTATAATTATTAAATTATATATTTAAATGCTATATAAAAATTAAAATGCCAAAAAATCAAATAAATAAAAATATTAAATGTATAAATTATAAATATTTAAATTAAATATAAATTACAAATAAAAATTATTTATTACAATGCTGTTAAAAATAAACAAACAATATATAAATACAATATATGAACTTAATTATAATTGTATATATTCCCCAATCTATATATAAATAAATGTGTATTTAAAATGTATGTATGTATGTATATATCAAGCGTAGCATTAGTTCTGGCAGGTCACGTCAGTCAAGCTTGCATCAGCTGACTCTCAGCTGATCCACGTCTACCTTTAGGAATATGACACCTATCACTACTTCCTTATATAAAGTCCATTCAGTATTTTTCAGCAGCCTATCACTTTGCACAGTAGTTAATTACCCTACTCCATCCCCAGCTCCTCCTTTTGTCCACAGTTAGGACTTGGCATTCTGATATTCCTTGTTGAGTCAGACTCTTTTATCCTGAATTGTGTGTTACACTAAATCATTAAGAACATAAATTATATCTGCTCTGTTCTGTGTACCCTAATTTAATTGCAATTGAATAAAAAATAAAATGTAAATTAAAGACAATCTTTTATGTCCAACCATTTCAAAATGGCTCTGTTGTCTATCACTAATCGGTCATAAATGGCTGCTAATAAATGATCAATAATCGGAGCAGTGTGTCCTGATCACCTTCGTACTCATCCGGCCCATTCTGCAGAGGTTCGGCTGGCTGCGGTGCCTGTGGAAGGGGTAGAGTTGTGGAGCTCTCTCAGACATCTCTCTGTAAAGAGGACATTCGCTTTGTCATGAAAGATCCAAGAAGCCAGATCCAAAAATTGAGTCAGTGCTTTCTAGAAAAAGACAGGTGGATTATGGGATATAGAGATGGCACAGTGTGCATGGGCTTGTTTGGATGTGTGTTTATTCAGCTGTGTTGGTAGGTACACACACACCTCCACACGCACTTGTATTAAAAATTATTGGTCAATAGAAGTGGATAACCAACTTCCTGTATGCAAAGTATTGAAAATCCAGGTTACACAATAGCCTGTAGTATGAACACAGAAACATGTGTGCATACACTTGCAAATGTGCAAACACGCACGCTCAGATACACACAAAAATGCCATTCCTGGCTGCAAGCAAAAATCTCTGCCAAATTTCAGGGATCAGATGAGCTTATATGGCTTCAGTGTGACCTACTTCCACCCAAAAACACACAAAAAGTTAACTTTTCTTAATTATTTGCTTAATATGCTTATGTAATACATATTCTTTACGACTAACAAAAATGCTTACGACAGCTAGCGAATTTAGTAAATGCTCCTAGAGACTGTAGTAAATATAAATATACAATTTGAGCATAAAACCTTTATAGCTAAAATTGTCCACAGAAAGCAAAAACAGCGCTCGGAATGAACAAGAAACTGGTAAGAGTTTTAAAACAGAGAAAACAAGTTATTTAGAGCTAAATATGCTAGCTAGCTAGTTAAAGGAAAGTAATTAGGATTTAGGATTAATTCAACATAAATTAACATTCATGAAAAAAACATCTGTTAAGATTCTAAGTGTGTGACACTTTGCTATCCCATAAAGCCACAGGAGCTGAGGAAAAATACATAATAGCACAGAGCTAATGGCTTCTCTTTTCAAATGTAAGTGCTATAGCCTATAGGCAATAAAGATGTCATTCTTTGTGGTAAAATTGTAGTTTTTGCCGTTGTTATTGGTACAGTATTAGTCAAAGTACAATGCCAACATGATGGATGCTAATTGACATGTCTGCTTACCTAACTTTCTTCCTCAAATTTTGTACATGCTCAAAGTATGCAATACTTCACAAAAAAGAGTGAAACTTTTTTTGTGTGACCTGCAAGTTCACACAAAAAAGTTATGATCACAAGGGAGCTGCGTTCATCTTTTCTTCAAAATATCACTTTAGCGATAGAAATGCTGGCAATTAGCCACAATAACGTAGCATCTCTCATATTTTCTTCAGAAAGCTAAAATATAATATTTTCAATATTACTTGTGTACAATAATATGGAGATCCATTTCCAGGTGAGGAAAGAAGAAAATTAAGGAGAAAATGTTTGGGTCTGCTTTTGACAGCTGTGCTTCTAAGCAGGCTAAGTGGTTCAGAACAGAGTATGTGAGCGGAGCGGTGTAATTTTTAATGGAGCGGATTTAAAAAATATATATATATTTTAATATACGTTATGAACAGAACTGTGATATTTCAAATTCAAACATACTGAAATAATTTTGTTGCTAAATTTAGCAACTTTTCAGACTACCCTAGCAACTTTTTCTTCCAAAAGCATCTAGCAACAAATTGAGCAATTTTAAACATTTATTTGGCAACTTTTAGCAACTTTTGATAAGGACTCAGACAATAAAAAGGCACACATTGTCCATCCAAATTACACAAAAGAGGAAACCACAGATGCCTAGCAGTACACACATCACGAGAATTGAGTTAGCTGCTATTTGCAATTGTTCAATTTAATAATAATAATAATTGAATAAATTGATAATTGAATAATTGTTCATTTATGATACACTTTGTTAGTAGCTTATACCTGCGATTGTTGATCAGTTAGTACACTGTAAGAACAATGGAAAATCTTTCAGGACATTATCCATTATCCATCATCCTTTGTAACCCTGTAACCCGAAAACACAATGCGTAATTTAAAATGCAGGTAAAAAAAACATTATGGAAAATTCTTTCATATTAACAGTAGATCGTGCCTTATTTTTACAGACGTTTCTTAGAGTGTAGCATACTAACTAACTACTAATACACTGCTTAAAGCATAATTGTTGAGAATGTGTAGAGTTTAGTAGCTACTAAAAAAACTTAAATTGTAATCATTTAAAAATGTGTAAGTTTTCAATAATTCAATGTATTTAAAAATACAGTTATTTATATTTTAATATTATATCATGCATATTATTTTAAAAACAAATCTAAATTAGCATATCTAAAATATATTTTTTGCTGAGGTTTGATGATGTGACAATTTTGCGTCGTGATTACGCAATGACGTCATTGAGCAATGACATCACAACGTCATTTAGCAACAAATCGACCTTCCTTTAGCAACTTTCTCTGAAAATTAGTTTGCAATACTGTATATCAGTGAGCGCGGAGTGGAGCGGGAGCGGAAAATGGTGAACCTGGAGCTGAGCGGAGTGATTATTGAATGCTTGGAGCGCGGAGGGAAAATTGCCACTCCACTCTGCTCACATACTCTGGTTCAGAATGGGCTTGTGATTCATATTAACTTACAGTTCGATCTTCGTGTAACATTAATCACCCACATGTGAGCTCCTATAATACATGCACATTTAAAAACTGCTCTGTTAAAGGGTTAGTTCACCCAAAAATGAAAATTAGCTTGTGTTTTACTTACCCTCGAAGCATCTTAGGTGTATGACTTTCTTCTTTCAGAAGAATCCAGTCGGAGTTAAAAATTAAAAATTGTCCTGGCTCTTCCAAGCTCTATCATTGCAGTCAGCGGGTGTTGCAGTTGAACAGTCCACAACTCGTCAAATAAAGCTCGCGCTTTCATAATAAACGTGCCACATACGGCTCCAGGTAAGTAAAACACAAGCTAATTTTCATTTTTGGGTGAACTTTAAGCTTTGGCCTTGCATTTCTCAACATTTTTCTATAACTGAACAAGAGAACCTCACAGAACTCGGGTTGTGGGCATTATTAACAAAGAAAACATAAAAAAACAATGCTAGTCTGCTTATTTTAATGATTGTGCAACATAATTAGTTTTGTACACCATTATCTGTATGAAACCTGTATGAGTAAATTCACTTCCATGTCATTTTTGTTCTGTTACAATCTATTCCAGGCTTAACTGGGACGCTAGTTTTGTGTGTGCTAGTTTTCAAGGCACTGAGGTCTATATAATGAAATGTCTTTGGACAGCTTTGCTCATAACCGAAATAGCTAATCTGGAAATAATAATAATAGCTTTATTAGCACCTGTCATACAGTGTATAAGCCAAATCACTCGATTTAAAAGTTCCATCACAATTTTATTGCCTGTGAAGCCACATGCAAGATCAAACACGTCAAGATCTTTGTCTTTAAGGTGTGAAGTGCTTATGGTTCTTCATTGCAGCTTGAAAATAAATCTATGTAAACTCACTCCACATTTCCGTGACCCTCAGCACTCTCCCTCACTACATTTCCTTCCAGAATCTCTTGAGTCTTCACAGTACAGATCTCCCCATCTTTGTTTATGACTGGTTCTGGATGAGAAACACACACACAACATCTCTCAGCCTCGCAGTTGTATAATGAACCAGTTGTTGAGAATGACTCTGGAAATCTGAAACAAGATGCATTCCAGGGCCTGTTTTATGTTGGACAATGAGTTTGAGGGTGTTTTGACATCATCCTCACTTATGCTTATTTTTGGAGTCATCTCAGTGAAGAACGGCTCAGCGATATCCTCGTCACATCCGTTGGGCAGGCCGTTCTGCTCTGGAGCAGGAACTGAGCCCTTCCATGGCTTCAGCTTTAGAGGCCGACCATCTGAGTTCAGAAACCTGTGGTTCAGGAGTGAAAGAAGAAGCAGTTTTGATTCAAGACCACACTCGACTTTATTGGTGCCTTAGAAACCTCTTTGGGTTGATTGACTTTTTATAACATCAAGGGCACAATTCCAAAAACCCTGTCAAAATTCCAGTGTATTACATTGGAGTTGCATGAAAGACATCATACAAGTTTGAGCATGTGCTAACGGTTTTATTGCATAAACGAATACAGCTCAGCAAATCTATCTCTCCCTTACCTGCCCTCCTCATGTTCCAGGAGTTTCCTATAGGTTGTGATCTCTCTCTCCAGCCTCATCTTGGTGTTGAGGAGCTGGGTATGGTTCTGTTTCTGCACTTCCAGACCGTCCCGCACAGTTTCTAGCTCAGACTCCAGACTCCTGACAGACTGGGACAGATCCTTGAGCTGCACAGAGTACTGGAGCTGAGTGTGGTGTAGAGAGCTATGGAAACTCCTCTCCTGGTGGGATAAAACAGAATAGTTATTTATTACCAATATCTACACCCCTTTTACCAGCCTACACCCCGAGACACTGGGATAGGCTCCGGTATCCCCATGTCTCTTTGTAGGACAATCTGCTTGGAGAATGGCTTAATGAATGGATGGATCTTCAGGGTTGGTGGAATGGAATAGGGTGGTCGGACATTGTGAACAGTGACCAAAATATCACAGGGTCAAGCAACAGAAGCAAGGCATCTCCCATTTAAGTTAAGTCACTTTAGTGCCAGTGCCACTTCATCCATACAATGCCATCATGTTTTACAGGGTCAGTCCGCCTGGACCAGCTGGGATTAGATGCCTTGCTCAAGGGCACAATGATGATGGCTCATAAATTGCATCTTGCATTGTTTGATCCACTAATCTTTCTGTTATTGTCAATCCCCCTGAAGGAACCTGGAGTTGAAAACCGTGGCACAATGGTGATGACTCAAGGATCTTACATTGCAGAGATCAAAGCAACAATATTCCAGAAACTGAAAATAAACTTCCGGTTAAATCTGAGATTAAGAGGTTGGCTCAAGGGCACAATAGTAGTGGCATATGGATCATGCCTTGTGGGGCATCAAACTAGCAACCTTCTGATTAAAAGCCTTGAGTTTTAACCACGACACCACCACTGTAATGTATCTTGATCAAGGACACAGTGGTCACTGGAAATCCCAATAATTCTACTGTTCATGAACTGTGGATCAAGTGGTAGAAGATGGCTCTACCAACACTAGGGACATGGATTAAATTCCCAGGGCTCAACTTGTATAACATGGCACCTTCAATGGGGTTTCTAACCAAAATATTTAACAACAAAACTAGTATTCAGTAACAATTTGTGGTTATCCGCAGTATTTGATTTATAAATTATGAGGTCACAGAACAAGGAGTGATGACAAATCTGGCAGGGATCTGTCGTACATTTCCTGGAGGCGAAGTGTTGGTATATGTTTAACACTTAATCTACATGGCAAACAAGTTATTTAATTCACAAAAATGGAGGTTGAATCAGATTCTGGAAGTGCCGGTTTCAGATCTGGCTTGTTCTGGCAGGAATTAAGGTGTGCATATGCGTTATGCATCAGTAAGTGATATTCTAATTTGTGTATTGTGCATTAAGGTGAAATGGGTTCAGGAGTGTGTGTGTGTTTAGGTGTGTCTACATGTTCCTGAATTGGAGTGTGTGTATCTGGGTGTGTCTGTGGGAATCGAACGCACCAAGGCGTGTAGAGATTCAATTTCCACCTGTAGACGGTGCCATCTCTTTCGGGCCTCTGTGAGCTCGGCTCGTGCCTCTTTCAGGGCCTCGTCACCTGCTCTCACCTACACAAAAAACATAACACATGCAGTGTGTACATAAGAATGCCCCAGAGTACGATAAATCTTAATACAGTTTTGAGCCTTTTTCATATTGCTTAGGTAAAATTACTTTAATGCATAGCCTCTCTGGCATATTGTTTTAATTATCCATGACTTACATCCCACAATAAAATTATGTGCTAAACGGAACGTCAGTTAGCACTGGTAACTCAATAGATCACATTAAAGAAAACTGAATTGATGCTCTTGTGGTCTGAGATGTACATCACAGTCTAGGAATCACTTTAGTCTCAATCTGATAAGAATGACTGCTCAGTTCCAAAGAAATGGAAAATTATATGTATGATTTCCAACTAGCTTGTTCCAAAAACAACATATAGTCTTATTCAATCTGAAAAAAAACAACAACATGTTTTTGGACATGGTGCCATCGTACTGCCAGGTTTTTGAAAGGTTTCATGTTAATACCGTGTTTTTGGACGTTTCAGGAGATGATGTACAATGGTAAAACCATGTTCAGTGGTACCAGAATGTTTTTTGGACACCTACCAAGCACCTTGGAGCACAATTGTATTGAAACCCTCAATTTACCATTGTACCAACACAGTAGGTATTTATAAAGACAAGCTGCAGTGTGTTGTTGTTTTTCAAGGAGAGTTACGAGGCCGATGGCCCATGCTTTTGTGCGAGGGCATAAATTCTGCTCAAGCACACTGGAAGACAAATAAACAATCACCTACTAATGAAAACAGAAAAAAGACAATGGTTATGCTCAACAGGACTGACATCCCTCATTCGGTTTAGAATAATAATGGTTGCTTAGCAGTCTTTTCACTCACGCACACACACACTACGACCGCTCTGCAGTGCCCTGGCCAGCAGACCATAGAGAGTGTTTGAAGGAGAGACAGAGAGCGAATACTCGTACCTGTGACAGAAATGCAGCTGTGGGGCTGGTTGCATCCTTTTGGGGCCTTCTCTGTGAAACGGGACCAGAGCCTGGGGCTGGATTTGGTGGTGTGGCTGAGTCAGGGCTGCTCTGGGCTGGGCTGGAGTGGTCGCACTGGGTGCTGGTCCGGGAGAGATCCATTCCTCTGCCATCCTCTCCTGCAGCAACCTGCACTAGTACTCTATCACACTCCTCTACTGCTCGCCGCTGGTGCTGATCCAGCTCTCTCTGTCAGCCAACGAGAGAGAGAGAGAGGGGGGTGGAAAACAAGAGGGAGGAAGAGGAGAATTTAAAAGGGCTCCTCTCATGAGGAATTAAAATTTTGGGATATAAGAGTTCTTCCTGGCAAAAACTTCTCATTCTGACATCTACAACCCAAAATAATTGGTCTGTCCTTTCATTGACTATTTGGCCTGTCCAGTCAGGGTGAGGTTATATAAACAGGATAGATATTGATAATCATAAAGATCCGTTTACAGCAATAATTTATAATCTAAACTTCATTCATTCTTATGGAGCTACTTATATTGGGGTGAAACTTTATTACAGACAGATCAAAGTGTGAGAACCAATATCAACTTATCAAAATTCAATCGATACAATTTGAAGTCTTTTTTTTTCTGTTTAACTTTTGGTTTAGTATATACAGTATATTTTGTGTTGGGTGGCAACAGGCGCTTTTGGTCACATTTGTAACAAAATTCAGAGTATTGGTTGCGTTAAAGCTATATGTTTGCTATTTGCATAGATAATAATTGTGCACAAATAAAAAGGACACAAGAAGTCCAAATAAATTGTATTATTGGCAAAATCAATAAACAAAATATTGTCTTCTATAATTAAAGGTTGTGTAAGTTCAGATCCAACATTCCCTACACACAAACACACCCTTTCCACGAGGCTAACCGCAACTTGGCATTAAGACATTAGGGAACATATTTAACAAGTGTTTTTACTAAAGACAGACGTAAAGGCTTCTCTCATCAAACGCTTAATATGACTGAGAGAACATCACACACACAGTGACACAAAATTGCACAATTAGACACAATCACTAATTAACATTTAACCAAACAGTGTCTCCACCTCATGTTCCTCCACGATTAGCTGTAACTCATTTTGGTATTCATAAAGCTGTTTTTCCAGGAGAGTGTTGGATGTTTCCACGTCTATTTTCTTTATCTTCATCTGTGACACCTCCTGCTCCTTTAGGAGACGGAGTTTCTTCTCGGTTTCACACCTACACACACATACGCATACTTAGGTATCTAAATGAAAGGCACACAATGGACTACAATTGGTTTTATATAAAGCTATTCTAAAACGAAAATCCATTTAAAACGTTATTCACAGATGTATTTATGAACCAACTTTCCGCTTGAAAAGGAATGACAAATAAATACTAATAATAATCATAAATATAAAAATGAAAAAAAAAGCTGTCTTTCAGGGTCCAAGGTCATCAAAGGTCATTAAAGTAATGTTAATCTTTTCAAAACAGAATCAATTTTACAGTATATTTTACTTATATTTCAATTAACATTTTTTATTATTCATTTATATTTAATTAAATTCAATCATTAAATTGCCATTTCTTACAAACCCCCAAAAGAAAGACCCCTGCTGAAGAAACACCACCTTAAATATATTCTGCATTAAATACAGGTTCAGTTCTACTGATTCCAAAAAAAGAAAAAAAACGGATTCTTAATTCAGTTTATAAAAACATATGCTGACAGAAACACACATACAATGAAAGCATACAAGGCAAACATTAACATCATTTTGTCAAAACATTTTTTTTAACTTAAAAATGAGTTGTAATTATTTTCTGTGGTAATTAAGTAAGTCTATTTAACCCAATTTCACATTTAAACATATACTCTCAGTGCACACCCACTGTTATGATAAAAATGCAATAAACCAATCATATTGAACCAACAAGGCACTGACTTTCTAGGAAAATTAGACTTTTATAATCTGAGAACGTTCCACTTTATGTAATAGAGGATTATGTGTCAAATTTGTTTATTTATTTAGCTTAATTCATTATCAAGCATTCACTGGCATTTCCAGGCACTTGCTGTTTCCCACCACAAGAGGGCAATCAGATGTTTAAATCACAATATTTTGTTCTTTTGAAGTGGAATATTCCTTTGGCATGCATGGAATGCAGAATGTATTATGAAAACTGTCCACAGTATGCAAATTTTCTGACCTGTTACATTTGGACAAATTACAGAACACAGTGGGTTGAGTAGTGTATGTGTGTGTGTATATATATATAATGTCATTAAGTAAAATAAATAAATAAACATATTTCATATTTCTTGTTTACTGAAAGTTTCTAACCTGGTCTTTAAATGTGCTGCCCTGAGTTTCACTGCATCGGATTGTAACAAAACTTCTGCATTTTCCATTATGATTATCCTAACCTGCCAAGACAAACATAAGAAAATGAGAATTAGCAGAAAAAAAGACATAATCAAGATAAAGAACGTTATAATTGCCCGTGGGTAGAAATTACTTTCTTGAACAAATGAATCAAAATTATGAAAGAAAGAAAAAAACGTATTAGGAATGTACACGGCTCGTTGAAGATAAACGGCTGTCAACACCCATCTAATCATGGGAACGAAAAATAATTTCTGAATTCTCAGTGTGAAAGATCAGGGTGTATGTAGGTATGCATCAACATGCTGTTTTTCTGGCTGTCTACTTTATGCAAATACCACCACTAAAGGAAGTTATGAAGACTTAAATGGTGCCAGGATTTTTCACTTAATGTCTGTTGTGCACATTGCTCAATGCATTGATTGTATCTGAACAGATTAATTGATTTCCCTCCAGAGCACATAAAATAGCTAGCTATCTGTCACATAAAACAACACAAGTGGGCTTTAAACTGTTATCTGCATTTTTGCAAGTCTTTAAGCAGGCTACTATTACGTTAGGGTCAAAGATCAAGCCAGATGTGAAAGCCAATCCTGAGGAACTAAAAGGATTAACAATCTTTTACAAGGTCAGTGTGGCCACAGGCGCCGGAACAGTTTTAGGAAGTACAGGTGTTAAGCGTCTGGTTAACAGTCCTCTGGAAATCAATTGAAATAAACCTGTTAGTCCCATAGAATTCAATTCACCAACCATGGTCCATTATTACATGCTGCACAGTTTACATGCTGTATACTGCAAAAATAGGATGTGCAGTATGATGGTATGGGATTTTGAACATATCCTTAGTCTTAAATACATAGTGTGCCATCTAATTATTGTATGCATATTGTACCCAGAATACTGTACTTAGTGCATACTGCAAAATAATATTAATGAGTATGCAAAATAACATGCAAAAAAGTAGTATGCCATAGTTAACAAATCATTCATCTTAAATATAGAATGTTATGTAATTATTGTAAGCGGCACTGTAGACAATACTGTATACTTCAAAAATAGTATGGCATTCTGAACACATCTTTAGTCTCAAATATAGCATGTCATCTAATGACTGCATGCATATTGTACCTAGTATACTGTACATAGTGCATATTTCAAAATAGTATGAGTATGCAAAATAGTATGCAAAAAGAGTAGTATGCCATAAAGAACAAATAATTGATTCCTGAATATAGAATATGTTATTATTGCATGCCGTACATACTGTATACTGCAAAAATAGTATGAGCATTATGGTATTCTGAACACACACACACACACACACACATATATATATATATAGTATATATATATTTATATATAGCACACATTCAGAATATTGGCATTAATCTACACAGTTGCATAAATGAGTATGAGTAGTACAGTAATATGGTACTATGAACAAATCCTTAGACTCAGATATACAGTATGTCATCAATTGTATGCATACGGAATATTGACACACTCTACACAGTTAACATACTGCACAGATTATGAATAGTACACTATCATGGCATTCTGAACACTTAAATATATAGCATGTCATCTAATTACAAACCAACAGCCTAAAACCTGGTCTTTGTCTTTGTTCAAAATAGCATATTAGCATACTATCCATACTATTTCAGCAGAATTTAGTATGCATACTGTGCACAGTATGTGATTTTTATGTGACTATACTCAGATGACCTACTGAATATGTCAAAATGTGCAGTATATAACCAGAACTCCACAGGGTTTGTATATCCCCCAGTGCATTGCACTGGCCTTTAAATAGTACCCATAATTCCTCTAGGTTGTTGACTTGATTAGACATTTTACAAAAACTTGGATTAAAAATGCTAAAAAGTCATATTGAATTTGTGCTTGAAACATTCATTTTTGCATAACATGTATGTTTGCATACTAATTTTTAAACAGAATGCAGTTGCAGTCAGCAGTATGCTAGTATTCTGTTCTAAATGAAGCGTTTATCAACAGAACGACCTTCTAAAGGTTGGTAGACGGTTGAGTTTCTCTCAGAGCACAATATTAGCTTAGCACATTTTGACTGGCAGGCTGCCATTTTGATGATTCATGTGCCATTGTGACAGCATTATATACAGTTAATCATTGTCATTGTCACTGTAAGTCACTCTCATATATAATGTATTTTAAGGGGATAAAATGAATTAGTAACGTTAATAGTGAATGCTTATGTGTTTGTACAGCTAATGCTAATGCAAACTACTAGTCACAAAGACTATGACAAAGACAGGTCATATTGTGCTTTGGTTTTAGGCAATATTCAGAATGGAATACTACCATGGTGTATACAGCAAGATGTGCTAAAAATAGTATGCAAAGATAAACATGCTAATTTGCATGCTACATTGCTGTAAAATACAATTTTTCATCTCACTATCAATGTACTGCATGCTACAAAAAAGGCATGAGTAAAGTGGTAATATGCCATTCATATTTTTAGTATCAAACATAAATATTATAACATATTTTTAGTATCAAACATTTTTGCCATCTAATTATCGTATGCATACAGAATATTGCACAGAATATTGCACAGTTAACATACTGCATAATGTATAATTATTATGAGTAATACAGAAGTATGCCATTATGTCATCTGATTACTGCATCCATATATAGTAAAATACAGGCATTGTGAACCCAGTATACAGTACACAATGCATACTGCAAAAATAGAATGCTTAGTATGCCATTACAAACATATCCTTACTCTTCAATATACTGTCATGTAATTATTACATGCTACACAGTATACATACTGTATACTGCAAAACTAGTATTAGTATGTTAGTATGCCATTCCAAATAAATTCTTAGTGTCGAAAATAGAATGCCATCTAAATATTGACTGAATAACATTCAGTTAACATACTTCATAAATAGAATGAGTAGTAAAGAACAGTATACTCTGCATGCTGCAAAAGAATATTGGAAACAGTTTCCAGAGTAGTATGCAAAAAGAATAGTATGCCATAATGAATATATTCTTAATCTTGGATACTGCAATTGCAATTGTTACATGTTGCACAATATACCTACTGTATAAAGCAAAACTAGTATGGTAGTATGCCATTCCAATAATATTCTTAGTGTCAAATATAATATGTCACCTAATTATTGACTAAACACAGAATATTCAGTTTACATACTGCATAAATAGTTTGAGTAGTACATAATAGTATACTTTGCATACTGCAAAAGAGTATTAAAAATAGTATGGAACATAATAGTATGCCATAACGAATACATTCTAAATCTTGAATATAGAATGAATATAGACTTAATACATGCTGACTTATTAGTATGCATACTACATTCTAAAAATAGTATGAGCAGTATTGTAGTATGCCATTCCAAATATTCTTAGTATCATATATTGTTATAATTATAAAAATAATTATTGACCGAAACAGAAAATTCTAAGTTATCATTATGCATACTGCATAAATAGTATGAGTAGTACAGAACAGGATTTGCATAATGCAAAAGAATATTGAAAATAGTATGCAAAAAGAACAGTATGCCATAATGAACATTCTTAAATATATAATGTCATTCATGCTGCACAATATGCATACTGTATACTAAAAATAGTATGAGCAATATGGTAGTATGCCATTCCAAATATTCTTAGTATCATATATAGTATGCATCTAATTATTGAGTCAAACAGAATAGTCACACTGCATATTACATCAACAGTTTAAGGGGTACAGTACGGGATTCTGTACGTACTGCAAAAGAGTATTGAAAACAGTATGCAAACAGTATAGTATGCCATAATGTGCATATTCTCAATCTTGAATAATATAGAATGTAATGCAATCATTACATGCTGCATAGCATGCATACTGCAAAACAGTATGTGTAGAATGATAGTATACTATTCCAAACACATTCTTACTATCAAATACAGTAGTTACATAAATTTAACAAAGATTTAGGGCCCAGCCAACTCCTAGGGACCATCGGAATTGTTCATTTTTGATGCCTCTTATCTAAGATACCTGATTTAACTCATTATCTGAAGCTCCATATCCTGATTTTGGTGTGTCGAAATACTGAAACACCCAAAATGTGCAGTGGGGCCCCCAGGGGCCGAATTGAGAAACACTACAGAAAATTATGCTTAATTAGGCTCATTACCCCAGAGCCAGTCTGAGGGGTTTTCAGGGTCACATGAAAAGCACCTCAGGATATCAAATGTAACGAGCCAGGCAAGATGCAGATAACAGGGCAGATAATGAGCGCGAACGTCACCGACCCACCTGAGCTCGCAGTTCCTGTGTCAGCGCCTCCTTGTTGCTCCAGTCCCAACATGGAACAACGTTCCTCAATCTCCACTCTGCAATCTGCTCCTCCAGTTCACGATTGGTCCATTCCAACTGATTCACGTGCTCCAGGAACCCCTTCAGCCTTTCATTCAGGCCCCTCAGGGCAAATTTCGGCTCTTTGAGTCCCTCCATGGGGCCAGATGAAACTAAATGAACCAGAGCACGTCCTGCCACACCTAAGACAACCGGGTGTTTACAGAGTAAAGATTTTGCTTGAATACAACCATCGACGTGGCTTCTACGTACAGGGATGAAGCCTTTCCCCGGCCCTTGGGGTACTGTGGGAGTGGAACAAGAGCGAGGGGCCCACCAGGGTCCTGCCGGCCTCGTGTGGAGGTGAAGAGCAAGAGGCCACAATATGTGTCACGGGTTTTGCTGGTGCTTTTGTGAACACTGATCCTGGATTTGTGACAATTCACACACACACACACACACACACACACACACACACAGACACACACACACACGGCACAGGTCAAAGTCCATTTATGTTTTACTGTTGTAAAGGTACAGTTTTGCATGCGTCTTTTTGTTTGCACCAGCTTTTGTGGCTCATATTGCGTGCAGTTTGTTTGCGTTGCCGCAGGGTGTTTGCATATGCGTGTTTGTGTTCACTATTTGATTCTTGCATTTTAATCTTTTACCTAATCATTTTTTCTGTCTAGGTGAACTCATCTTCGGTACAGATCTGCCCTGTCGAGGCAAGTCTCAGACCTGTAGGGCATACTTACAAACAAAATACAAACTGCTTTACACCTCGAGCTTTTCGCTAAAGCAGTGCAGATTAACAAAGACATTTTGGCATTTATGTTAGAACAGAACTTAGCAGCCTCTGTGCAAAGGGGAATGTTAACTATGCATTATCAGATCTGGGCTAAATGCACAAATCTATGGTTTTATTATTGTAAATTGACATTTATTTATTTATTTATTTATCCAGAGTTAAGTTTTACATTCAGTTTGTATCAATCTATATACAATTTTTTAAATACATGTGTGTAGAATATGTGGTGTGTAGAATACACATTGTGTGTTTTGCATCTCCAGGTAAAATAAATGAATAAGGTATATGAATAATGCAGTGCTAATTGACATAGGGCCTATCATGTATTACAGTATAGAAACTATAAAATATATTTTCTGCATTATTCTGTGATAAAAATGGAAAAAAGTGTTTGTAGTATATAAACCAATCGTAAAATTTACATTAGGAAATTATAGGGGGAAAAATATTATAGAACAAATTATTGGTTATTGTCCAACAGTTTACACTATTTGATTTCTTAGCCAATTAAAAATAAGAGATAAGAAAAAAAATTACAGTTTACATTTTTGTCTTTTGAAATGATGGCTATATCCCTGTTTAAATATATAATACATACTTTATATAAAACAGTATAAAATATATGAGTATACACACTGTATCTCCTATGGTTTTCTTCATATACAGTTTTATATTTTGATATTATAATGTTATATTGTTGTTTTTATTATTATTATAATGCAAATTTAATTTGAATGAAAGTGTATAAAATATAAATTAATAGAAATGTTATGTTAAATTTTTATACATTCAATTGGACAAATTCTAGCATTTATAATTCATATTTAATATAAAAATTATAAAATATATGAATATAAATAAATATGAATATTCTGTATTATATATATATATATATAGCAATTGCCATTGCAATTGGAGCGCTTAGCGAAGCGCTACCCTCAACGTGTTTTTGCAACGTTGAGCAATGAAACCATTCACAGACATATCTGTTGATTTCTCAAACGCAATGGCCAATCAAAACCGGTTTGTCAGAATTCACTCACCGCTGAAAGCGCCGCAGTTTTTAAGTGCAGTTTTGCACGCTCGTGAATCATCTCATGACTAAGTGCAGACGCGATGTCAATAAGAGATTCATTGTGCAGTTTAGAGAGCTTCATTGATTATAAAGGAACTTTGTAAGATCGCGATGAACGAAGATGAGTGACGCTTTTTAGGGTGCTTTCACACTTGGCTCGCTTGCCTGGTCCCCCCCTCACGTGTAACAACGATTAAAAACAGAAACATTTCAAGTGGCACGGGAAAAAGACACGGAAAACTTCAGTGAACATCAGAAAAGCAGCGTGCCATCAACTGACAAACGGGAAGCATCCCCATTCAAGTCAACAGGAAGAGCCAAAGCTAGTTCACAGTTTACTAAACGGTGGCAACCTCTTTAAAGGGGTCTCACATGTGGTTGCCGCAAGCCCGCCGGCCGCTCCTTCGTCGAATCCGCCGGCCGCCGCTCACTCTAACCCGCCGGCCATTCCTCACTAAAGCCCGCCGTGTGTGACGCTGTGTGACGCATTTTATGGAGGACTGTTTCCTGAACCTGCAGTTCTGCATAGCCTACAATGGGTCTGTGCTCAAAGGCTGTTCTATAAAGTGGGGCAGTTCCAACTTTGCAAGGACAGTCTGGTGCTTCTGACTCACAGCCTGTAAGTACGTTTTTTATATTTAAAGAATTTGCCAATTATGATTCAAACGCGAGTTTTAAACAGTGTAGAGTAGCGCTTGTTTGTTTGTTGTTTCTCTGATCACATGGTTTTATGTTTACGTGGCGCGATACGCAACATAATGTGTAAAAACACAGTATAAGTCAATATAATCAGTAATTATGTCCCCACTGGATGCAACAAATGCCTCGTTTGTAATGGGTTTTATTGGTTTTGTCTCGTCGTGCTGGGAGATGGCATCACAATATGTTAAGGTGCGTAACATTTCCGTCACATGCTTGAGGTATTCAGCCAATCACAACGCACTGGATAGCTGACCAATGAGCTTTGTAAAAATCGACGCGTTTCAGAAAGGCGAGGCATAGAGGAGCAACAATAATGTACATTATGTGGAAAATAATGTGTTTTTTTAACCTTAAACTGCATAAACACATTGCATTACACCAAATACACAACATAATGTTCTTTTTAGCAACGTCATATGACCCCTTTAAAACACCCTGAATAAGAGTTAAACATACAAACGCAATTGCACAAACAGCACAATGATGGTAAATACTGTGCCATTTTCATTGCGTTTGATCTACTGAACCAAAGACTTCTGCGCAGATACAACTTCAGAGAGCACAATCATCAGAGGAAAACAAAACAAAAGCCATTTGACTTACCAACACGCCCTCGCCCGTCCCACCCCTTTTTTCTCTTCTGTTCCTGCCCTGGTGATTCCCCTTCAGATTCGAGTCATTGACGTGTGGCAGTCGCAGTCTAGTGAGAGTCCATCTGGTTGCACCCCACACATCTGATTCTGGGGTGTTGACGCATCTGGCTGGCTGTACACATCAGAAGTCACGGGACAGGGAATGCTGCCCGACCTGTTCTGGCCCCCGGCGCTGCTCCATGAGAAAACAATGTGGTCTCATGAGTTGTCTGAAATGGGAGCGCAGGTAATTACAAACAGGTAATGACTGCAGACATGTGGCTACCTGTCCAACAGTTAAATTACAAGGTGGCTTACTGTAAAAAAACTGAAAAAAAAACTGTCAACTCGGACTTGCAAACTTTGAGATCCGGAAGGTGACACACTACCCACGGTCTTTTACAAGGCCCTTAGGTTCCTGTTCGTCCCCACCTGTATACACTCCTCAGTCAAATCAATGAGATAATTCTTCAGCTTTGTCATTTTAGTAGTTAGCAATAGTTAGTCATTTTTTTGGGCAAGTGCAGATGACAAACACCTGGCTTATTCATATGTATCTGTGATGTCATCAATTTTTCAACAATGTTGTTCTTGTGAACTTTCAGAAAACGTTTGGATATGAAATTACTATTTAAAGCAAACTGAAAACTTCAGCAAACTTTTTTTTTTAAATGACTAAATAATATATATACATTGTACATATTTTTGAATAAATACATAATATCTTCACAGAAATATAGTTATTTATCTTATTCATATAAATCTTGGCAAAAAACTAAAATACTGCATGTCAACCATGTCAAGTCAGCTCCATTTATCATATGTGAGACAATAATTATGGGCTATAATTCAGTTCAATCTCTTTGGCAGACATGGTATGTCTGTGCTATCATGTTTATTGACACAAGGATGTCTCGGATGTCTCACAATCCTATCTTTTTGAAGTGCTCAACCAACATTATTTAAAATGGGTGAATACTAATGGAAAACGCTAGTACTAATCTATCACCATCATGTCTATGTCAATAACAAAGAAACTGTTAAGATAATCCGACTTCTGCACTGTTTTAAACAACTTGTTGAGAAAAGCTTCAATTAGCTGGTCTTAGTCATGTGAGAAAGTTGATATAATCATATACAAAGGTGGATGGATAGAGTTATAAAGATATATAAGCAGGGTGTTATTACAGAGCTGTCTTTTCACAATAAATTACTTTCTATTGTGTTTATGATTATTTTTTTCCATGACTGATCTCTCCAGAGCATGTGCTAATATGCCACTTTTATGTAAAGTTGCATGAACTTAATACCTTCATCTCTACAAAACATAATCATACGTCTAATCGCAAAGTGTGTGTAGAAAGACAGTGGAAGCCCCACCTGGACACACCTGCACATTAAAAGTGTAACCACGGTATGCAACGCTACAATGCACAGGCACGTCCCCTGGATACCATGGATACTATACATAGCTATGTCGCCACGGCTCAAACAAACAATGAAGAAACAACAACAGTTGATTTACATAAATGTGTCAGATCGTGAGAAAAGTATTAATGAAGATTACTAATTGGGTCTTACAATGGCATGTTAGACTTTCACTGCAAAGATTAGCAGGCTAGCTAACACCCGTAATTGTCAAACTATGGGTCTGTTCTGAAAAAGGGAGGACAATAAAATCTGGAGAAAGTTAACTGTTAGCATAAGCATTAAGCTGAGAGTTTGTTTTAATCAAGGAGGTCTGTAATACCTGGAAATAATTAGCCGTTAGCAATAGCATTCAACTGGTGAGTCTATTTTAAACAAGGAGGTCTGTAATATCCTGAGAAATCATTAGAATTAACTTTCAACTGGTGAGTACATTCTTATCAAGAAGGTCTGTAATAGATCTAGCCGTTAACATTAGCATTAAACACGTAAGAATGTTCTGATCAAGGAGGTCAGTACCTGGAGAAAGTTATCCATTAGCATTAGCATTAAAGTGGGGAATTTGATTTAATCAAGGAGGTAAGTAAAATCTACAGAAAACCATTAGCCTAATTAACCCAATACCTAGCATTAACCATTAGCATTAAACTG